GCCTCCCAAGAGCTGGGATTAAAGGCTCACATGATTTTCCCAGTCTCAGTTGCCATCTCAGTGTACCCTGGGGGTTGGGCTGGCATGGCAGGCCTGGAATCGAATCTTGGCCTTTGTGCCTGCTTGCAGGCACTTTAATCTGCTGAGCTATTTAAGTTCTAAAGTTTGATCCCCAATACTACAAAAAAGTGAAAATTCTGATCATTGGTCCCCATTCATAACAGAGGAGAAAGTTTCCTCTTTTCAAACAAGTTGAAGTCTTTTTGGATTCCTTTCTTTCAAGAACAAGGAATAGATATAGAAGGTATGTCTTAATGCTTGCTTCTAAATGGTCATCTCTTCCTGATCCCACAGATCCTAAGAGATCATTCTCATGAAAGAGAATGGCAGACTGGAACTCTTCTGTGACAGAATTCATCCTCTTAGGTTTGACACATCAGCCAGGACTCCGGATCCCTCTCTTCTTCTTGTTTTTGGGTTTCTATCTGCTCACAGTGCTGGCAAACCTGGGCTTGATCATCCTAATAGCACTGAACTCTCACCTGCACACCCCCATGTACTTCTTCCTCTTTAACCTCTCCATAATAGATCTATATTACTCGGCTACCATCACCCCAAAAATGCTGATGAGTTTTATCTCCCAGAAGAACATTATTTCATATACAGGATGCATGACTCAACTTTTTTTCTTCTGCTTCTTTGTTAATTGTGAGTCCTTTATCCTTTCAGCAATGGCATATGATCGCTATGTTGCCATCTGCAAACCTTTGGTTTACATGGTCACTATGGGTCCCCAGACATGTTCACTCCTCTTGTTAAGTGTCTATGTGATGGCCTTCATTTCAGCTATGGCTCACACAGGAAACATAATGAGCCTGACCTTCTGCTCTGACAACCTTATCAATCATTTCATGTGTGACATCCTTCCCTTCCTTGAACTGTCCTGCAATAGCAGTTATGCAAATGAGTTGGTTGTCTTTGTTGTTGTGGGAATTGATATCATATTACCTGTTGTTCCCATCTTCATTTCTTATGCCCTCATCTTGTATAACATTCTTCACATTCACTCCAAGGAGGGAAGATCCAAAGCTTTCAGCACGTGCAGTACTCATATGACTGTGGTTCTTCTTTACTTTGGTTCTGGGAGTTTCATGTATCTGAAATCACCAACACTTTTACCCCTGGAGCAAGGGAAAGTGTCTTCCCTGTTTTATACCATTGTTGCACCTATGTTAAATCCATTAATCTACAGCTTGAGAAATAAGGATGTTAAAATGGCCATTAGAAAAACCTTGGGGAGAAAAATATTTTGTTAAGAAAGGAGTTGTATTTGAATAAAAAGATGAAAACATTGTTTATTGATATGTATGTTTTTATTTTACTGTGTAGTATGCAGTGTGTACATTCCTGGTGGGATAATGGTATGTATATATGAACATCTTAATTTCTTCTTCATTCCCTTTCTCATTCCTCCACCCACCATCCCTGTGTTCCTCTATGTGTGTTACTTGTCTCTTCTTGCTAGGACAAAATACCCAATGCCTAAAATGAAGGAAGGAAAGGTTTATTTAGCTCACATTTAGTAGACATTTCAGTCTATAGTTGGATGGCTCTAAGGCAGAGTGGCACATGGCACACAGCAGATGTTCATTGTTGAAGCAAAGAGTATAGGGCAGGCTACCCTGCGCCAGCGGGACCTACTGGTTCCAGCCCAGGCACAACGTGGGTGAGAGCCTCTTAGACCCACTTCGACTCTTGCCACAACTCCGCAGCACCTCCCCTACCCTGCCCGCCCAGTAGGAATTCCTGCCCATTCCGGGAACCCGCAGACCAAGTCCTAGCCCAGGCCCAGTGAGTGTGTGGGAGAGCTTCCGGCTACCCTGGGCCAGTGGGGCCTACTGGTCCCAGCCCAGGTGCAGGGTGTGTGACACCCTCTTTCACCCTCTTGCGATGTCCACTGTCACTCCGTAGTACCCCCCACACCCTTCCCGCAGAGTAGGAATTTCTGTCATGTTCTGGGAACCCCCAGATCCAGTCCTAGTCCAGGCCCTGTGAGTGTGTGGGAGACCTGCCTCTCTCCCTACTCCACCTTGTCCTCTCCAGACTCAGCTCAGGTCTGGCATACAGGCCTGGAATGAAACCAATCAGCTGCAATTCCTGCAGAGAGCGTAGGGGACAGAACCACCCAGCTAGTCCAGGAGCAGAACATCTTGCCAGAGGGGCACAACAGGTTCATCCCCAAGGACAGCAACAGGAAGGAACTGAGCACAGCAGCCAGATCCAAACCAGGCAGAGCTAGATAAATCCAAACTTTGTAGATCTACACCTCAACTTCAGTAGGTGCTAAGGCTATGACTTCAACAAAGACCTACAACAAAGGTCAGAAGAGAGTGCTACACAGAATAACAATGAGAAGGAGCAAAATGCAATCTCAGACCCCAAGCCCACACATAACAAGTGCTGAGGACACTGACACAGAACAAATTGGGAAAAGCACAGCTGAAAGCAATGAATCAATGGTTTCTGAAATAAAGAAACAGCTGCAGAAATGTATAGAGGAACTCAGATTGGAAATGAAAAAAGAAATCCCTGAATTAATAACATCTGCAGTAAAGAATCAAATGCAGAAACATATGCAGAAAACCCAATGCCCACAGAGAACAAGTGCAGAGGACACTAGCTCAGCTCAAATATATGAATTAATAGCGTCAATAGTAAATAAGCAACAGCAGAAAGTCATAGATGAACTCAAGGCGGAATTCTCTTTCACTAGCTCAGCTCAAATGTACGAATTAATAGCGTCGATAGTAAATAAGCAACAGCAGAAAATTATAGAGGAACTCAGAGAAGAATTCTTTTCTGAAATAAGAAAAGAATTCTCAGAACTCATAGCATCTGAAGTAAAGAACCATCTACAGAAACTTAGGGAGGAAACCCAATCTGAAAAAAACATTGCAGTAAAAGAATTTATAACTGCTTCTAAAAAAGACATTGATAAAATAATAGAGGAGATTAGAAAAATGACGGATTCCTTGAATGAGCAATACAGGAAAGAAATAGATTGCATGAAACACAGAGAGATATAGAGGAAATGAAAATCTCAATCACAAGCTTGCAAAACCATTTAAATGAAAGTGAAGACAGAGTTTCAGATCTTGACGCTGGTGCAGCTAGTGAAAAGATAAGAAAGGATCTCTTAAAAACAACTAGGATGCAGGAAAAAATAATCCATCACCTACAAGATGATGCAAAGATGAAAAATGTGAGTCTAATAGGCATCAATGAGAAAGAAGGAGTCAATACAAATGACATTAAAAAAATATGGACAGAAGTAAAAGCAGAAAACTTCCCAAATATAAGGAAACAATCTGACATTCAGGTAACTGAAGCATACAGAACGCCAAGAAACCTCAACCCAATTAAACACACTGAGACATATAATAGTCAAGATCCCAGAAATTCAGCACAAGAATAATATACTGAAGGCCGCTAGAGAAAAGAAACAGATCACATTCAAAGGAAAAGCCATCAGAATTACAGCCGACTTCTCTTCACAAACCATGAAGGCAAGAAGAGCATGGAGCAGAGTACTTCAAGTC